ATTTCTCCATGTTTGTCGCTTCCTGTTGCTTTTCCAGGCTGTGGGATTAATAAAAACATCACCCTATTATTATTATGATGTTATTTTTGTTAATAATGTTTAATTAGTAGAAGAGGCCCACAGAGCTGGGACGGATTGTTTTTTTTATTTTATTTTCAAATGTAAAATCGTATTAAACTAATTCTAATTAAACTAATTCCTCGCATTGTGCAAACTATACCTGGAAATAAATCTGTTTCTGATTCTGATTATTGCTTTGAGCCGTCTGTGAACGCGCACTGTGCTGCATCACAGGCTGGGAGTTGTGCGTAATTAGATTTTTGTAAAAAAAATAAAATAAAATAAAATCGAGGCTGTATATTAGCATTTATTATTTAGAGTGAGCTTTTTGTCGAATTCCTATTTTTATTACTTTTATTATTATTAATTCACTGCAGGACAGAAAATCTGTGCAAAAGGATAAAACGCGAACAGTTGAAATCAGGTGAAGGCGACGCGTTGAGCTTCTGCAGAGAAATCTTGGTGCAAATAAAACAATAAATTCAGCAATAAACTGATAAAAATAATTTTTAAAAAAAGCACTCACGTGTTGAAAGCAGAGCTGCAGCAGATTCTCGGTTTGTTTCCTGGTTCTGATTCTGGTTCCGGTTCTGTTCGTCCAGAGCAGGTGTCCGTCTGACCACACGTCCAGTGGATGAGCGACCTGAAAACACGATTAAGTGTTGAAGGAGGTGTTTGCTGCTGCATCGGACAGTAGGAGGCCTGAAGGAGGCCCGGAGCTGAGGAGGAGCAGCGGCGGAGAGCAGCGTCTGGTCCGGTGGAGGTGTATGTTGTTATTATATTTATTATATGTTATTATTACATGTTATATATCATCATTATATATTAGTTTAGATGGAGGAGGACAACAGGCTGCATTTAAATAAGAACAGATTTGTTAAGTTACAAACAATAAAAAACAGCAGAAAGGAGAGTATTAATTTATAAACACACTGAAAGTCATTCCTTGTTTTACAACGTTTAACTTTTAAAATCACAATTTTACTGCATTTCAGTCAACTAAAAAATATTAAAACATTACAGATGCACACTGTAAAAAAAAAAATCAAAATAAATCTGTAAACAACAACAACAACAACAACAAACTGGAACAAAACCAAGAATGCCAGAAAAAATAGATTAAAAATGGTTGAATGATGTAACCTTCAGAAATGATTAAACGGATAAAAATAACTGTGAAACAGTGAAAATTGCAGCCAATATCTTTATAATAATCATAATAATAATAATTTAAATACAGAAACTGCATCATTTCACTGTTAAAACACTGAATCAATGAACTGATTCCCTTAAACGCTACATGAACAAAACCAGAAGAAAATGAAACTAAAATGCTTTTCAAATTAAAAACACACAGAAATTCCTTTACATTAACACGGAAACACTCTCTGGAATAAGTGAATTTTCTGATTAATCAGGTCATAAGCTTGTGCCAATCATAAAGTAATTTAAAAACCGCTGATTGTAGAGAATCCTGTTTAAACGCATTTTTTTTTCTTTAAATGTTTCTGAATTCAAATAGATTAAAGCCAACTGTTGTTCCTGTTGCTGAGACCAAGCCTTGATTTTTTTTTAGCAGCATCACAAGAAGCATCTCTCAGATTTTCTGCTTGTTTCCGTTTATTTTTTTTGGACAGTTTTGACTTTTATCTCTCAGTGATAAAAGCAGCTGCAGGGTTTCTGTGTGTTGCACGTGCAGGGCTGGACGTTCAGGTAGAAACCAGAGGCTTTAGACTCAGTGTGATGTGAGATCAGGAGGTTCTGAAGCTGGTTGTGTTGCTGTTGTGTGACTCTTCTGATGTGTGGTTGGCGGAAAAGTTGCTGCTATTCATTTTCACTCAGCGTTGAATTTATCACAGGTTAATGAAACGGGAATAACATTAGCATCAGGATTCCTCATCAGCTGTAATATATCTGAGCAGCTCTATCAGGGCGTGTGGGGGAGAAACAGGGAGGCTTTTATTAGCACCATAACTCTTCAGGCTCCAGAGGAAGCTGTGCATTAAGGCTGAAGGCCGAACCTCTGCAGCCTGGAGCCCCAGAGCTGCTGAATATCAGAGATGCTGCTACGAGCTGATAGCAGAGGAAGCACCGGGCAGCAGGTCTGAGGAGCTCAGAGGTCCTTCAGCAGGAGACACTGAGCTCATGTTCAGACCTTTCACTGAGTCACACAAGGCAAAGAAGGAACATCACAAAAACGCTCGTTTATAATGTCAACCAGCACAGAAGTGTTTAATTAAAGACGTGTTAATTGTTTAATAAAAAGGAAATCACTGCAGCCGTAAAAGAATATTATTCTCAGAGCAGCTCAACCCTGATTGGACAACAGATAGTGAAACTGCGACATCTAGTGGCGACAAACTGGACCTACATGTGGGAATGACTTCCTGTTTGTAGTGTTGTTTATTATCATGAGCTGCTATTGGAGCACTTGGAGGTGCAGGATGCTAAAACAACATGACATTAAAAAATATTTCAAAGCATTTAATTTCTGTGGTGACGTGAAAATAGCAGTCATTTTTTTTGACGACAAGGTCCATGCAGTCAAGAAATGCTCCGTTTAGATTAGTGTGGTATTATTTAATGTAATAAAATAAAATACAGTTAAATTAAATTAAATTAAATTAAATTAAATTGAAAATAAATAAATATAAGACAATCGTGATTTTTAACATTTTTATATCTATATTAAAAGAAGATTATTAGTGAATAGTGAAGGTTACATATAAATCACAGCAACATAAATGCAGAATGTTTTGGCTGCTGCTGCTGAGTTTTTATTCAGTAGATGCATTTTTAAATTAGTGTAACATTACTTTATGTAAAATAAATAAATAAATAAATAAGTGGAAGAAATTAGAAACCAAATATAAGAAAACAGGGTAATTCTTTTTCTTGTTGAAGGGGTTTTCATTTCTAATGTTGACTTGAGAGACAGATATCATCAGAGTTATTTTGTAAAGATGTTACGAATGTTAAATTGAATTAAATGAACAAAAACTAAATATTTTAAAGTCACTGCAACCATAACAAGATTTTTGTCTGAGCAGCTCATGCTGAACATCAAATAGTGAAACTGCGACATCTAGCGGTGAGAAACTGGACCTGCATATAAAACTAAACGCAAAGGCCACGTTCTGACTGGTGCTGCTGGATTTCTATAGTTTACACAAGTGTGTGTTTATAATGTTGTACTTCATGACTGTGAATGATTTTAGCTTCTATTTGTGCACTTGGATGATCCACAAGTGACAAAAAAAAACTGTTTTGAATCATTAAATTTCTTGTAGCGACATGATTCATGCAGTAAAGAACTGTTAGTTATTGTTTTTATATCTATTTTTTTTTATTAATGAAATATTACTTTATGCAAAAAAAGAAAGAAGAAAAAGCCTCCTAGTTGTTCGATTCTTTTTTGTAAATCTAACGAGCAGAATTTGACAGATGTTATCAGGGTTCTTGTTTTATAATGAGCGTTTTATTGAAAATTTGCTGAACAGAACAAAGACAGCTGTGAACAATGATGTCTTTTCTAACATTCTTGCTGCTGCTGTTACACTGACCTCTAAGTTACAGCAGTGAAAAGGCCTCCGGGGCCTCGTAGATACTCTGCTGTCTCATAAGCAGCCAGCGTTGCTCCCATTCTTCAGAAGGGGGAGGATATCTTTTGTCCCAGTAGGATCTATTTGGCTGCTGTAAAAAAACTAAAATCAGTTGTTTTCAAATGAGAGCTATGATGTTCAGATGCTAAAATAGACATTTTGCAGAAACATGGAATGTTTTTATGAGAACTTCAAGCACATTACGCTGGAATATTCCTCTTTTCCCAGCTTCTGCAGACTGGGAGACATCTGGTCAGCAGTATTCTGGTTTATCCTCAGACATTCATAAATGTCATCAACACCTTC